CATGAAATGGCAACCGAAATTCTGAAATGTTTTTTTTTTCGGTTGGGATTTATTACCTACATTCGTGCTTTCTAATCCATACGATATTTCAGTCACTCGAGGGTGCCGCCTTTTCAATACACTTCCTTCCTGTAGAATCTGCATTTAGGAACAATTATTTACTTAGCAGTATGCTTTTTACTGATTTTCGATGGTCTTATAAATGCACATACATTCTAGGGAAAGCGCTTACGAAAATATTATTTTCTGGGAAAAAAGGTAACGGCGACAAAGTTTGCAGGATTTCGTGACCTCTTATTCAACTGTATGCGGTCGTTGCCTATAAGTACGTTGAAACAAACTCCAATTAAGTATCGACCTACAGGGCTGGCATTTAATAGGTAAATAGATCATGAGCTGTTTGTCCTAGATGCAGATGGGCACGGAGAGAAGGAAGAGGGGGGCATTTATCGAATCAAGGCAGTTTATGATAGAGTGAGAGCCTGTCAAGCGTGATTAAAATGGGAGGGGGGATCAAAGGGCAGGGTAGCAGCCGTCACACGGTGAAGGAAGGGGGGCGTGAGAGGAAGGGAGAGGGCATGGGGCTAACGCCGTTTATCGATCGTTACCACGGCGACGCGAGGTTGATCACGTGATTCGGTTGGTTACAGAGTTCCAGTTTTTTTCTCCGTATTTCAGCGACCTCTGTAAACCTCCTTCAAAGTTCTTGCGAGAAAACAATGCTTCAATTCTTTCATGTACTCCCTTAGAAGCATATTACGTTTTTTTAACCGTTCTACTCAAAGAAAGTTCTTCCGAAGAGGACTACATTGTATAGTTAACAAAGTGCATTAGTGTACGGTCAATGACAGTACAATTTCAGTGGATAATCTCAGGGGTTACTGATATATATTTTTAAATCACAAGTACCCTTCCAGTGCCACATTTAATTAAGATGTAAAGTGCTACCAAATGGGTGCAAGAACGACTATTTTTTGCATTTCTTCTATAAAATATATGCGCATTTATAAGGATCTTGAAAATCCACAAAACGTTATATTACTTGAGCAGTCGTTTTTGCGAGTGCGGTTTTGGCTAGCGTCCGAAACGGAGTACATGCAAAAACGGAATCCTGACGTGTATAAGGCCCCATGTAAGTGCATTAGATTGTTTACTTCGTGAAATGTGAATGACAAAACTTGAGTGGGTGGTTTAACACACTTTTAAGGTCGTTTATTTTATTCATTGAATTGACTTAAGGTGCAAAATGCTGTTTATCAGAAAATTCAGTTCAAATAAAGGGCCAACACGGACCAAATCCTACGTTTCTTGATATCCAAGGAATTTCCTACGCAAAAAGCAATCCATGATTTTAGTTAACATTTCAGAATGGTCGATCATTGGCCATATATAGACACGGAAGTTAACTGCACTTGTAATTAGAATCCTTTCCAAGGGTCCTAGTTTAGAAATATTTGGAATTATAGGTTAGAAGTAAGGTGAAGCAAGTCTGGCTATCTGACTTAAGTGCTTACAATTACGAGGCTTGGTGTCTTGCCAGTACTTTTGACAGACCTATTCAGCACCCATACCGTAAGCTTATATCCGTTCGGCAGTTATTAACCTTCGCCTTGTTAGAATTATAGAGCAGTCCAAAACAGTTGCGGTTTCGAACGTATTGCAATGTCTGGTTTCCACTCACTTTTGCTGTTGTGCTAATAAGGTCAATGCGCCCCCAATGGTCGGTAGATCTTGCTGAGGCATGCAGGCTGGTATCGCCGGATGAAAACGTTGTTTGCCTGACGTTTCGGATTCCAGATCGAACCCATATTCAGAGCCAGCATCAGATAGGGGTCTCTGAAGATTCATCCGAGCTAGAATCCAAAACGTCAGGCGAATAAAATTCTTGCCCCAGTGATCGTGACTCAATCAGTAACATGCTTTAACTTAAACCTTAGTATCACGCCACTTCGGTATAGTCCATGTCGCCATCGCTATCACATCCTTACGTCTTACCCTCTCTCTTTCTTTCTTTTCCATTGCTTCACTGTTCTTCTGTTCAGGTCTTGCCTCGTGCACCGCTTTATTGTGCGAGACAGCATCGAGATGGCCCTGCACTCTTTTCACTCGCGTCTGCCAATAGCTTCGGAAACTGACTGTATGGTCGGTGCCGGTGCCCGTCGGTCCAGTTCCCATGCCAGCGGGACCGCTGGGCCTGGAGAGGATCGCGCTCAACTCCTTCAGATGACTGTTGGCCAGTTGGTGCAACTTCTCAAACTCGACGTGGCCGCTGATGATGTAACCGGCGACGGGGAGCAAATGGACTGCATGGCCATAAACCCAAATGACCCCCTCTGATCCGATAATTCCGTGTCTTCACCGTTACCTCCCCCCTCCCCATCACCACATGCAATAGTCGATCGTGTTGGGCGCCATCCTAGCATTTTTAATCCTCATGCATTTCGTCATTTCTGTACATATATACATACACATATATTTTTTTCATTCTGGGTTACTTGCCATTTTGCCTATAACCCTTACAATA